AGGAGAGTCCTCAAGACTTTGTGCTGGGACAAGAAGCCTCTGCAATAATTTCACTAACTAGATAGAAAGCCTTTACTAACAAAGAAAGCAAGCCTTTGTATTAATCCCAAGGTGTAGACAGGAGAAAAGGAGAGGTACCCAGAAACTAGCTAAGGAATATAGCCCCTGAACCCGAATAGTCAGTGCACTTGGATTAGCTGAGTGTCTGCTTAATCCGACTGCCTGTTAATAGCATTTTTGCTCATGTGTTTCATAAATAAACTTGCTATCTCATTTCTATTAAATGTGTTTGCTCTCACTTGAATTTGTCTCCTGTGAGCAATGCAAGAATGTAGGAACAAGTTCCGGTATGGGGTGGGGGTCCCTGACTCGGGTCTTCCTGGGTAACACAGTCACTGTGGAAAATAGTATGGAGGTTCCTCAAAAAACTAAGAATAGAGCTACCATATGACCCAGCAACTCCTTTTCTGGGTATATAACCCCCGAACTTGAAAGCACTTATTCACAAAAATATACACATACATATGTTCATTGCAGCACTATTTATAGTGGCCAAGACGTGGAAACAAGTGAAGTGTTCTTCAATAGATGATTGGATAAAGAAGGTGTGTTATATATATGCAACAGAATACTACTCAGCCATAAGAAAAAATGACGTACTGCCATTTGTGAGAGCATTAATGGACCTTAAGAATATCATACTAAGTGAAATAAGTCAGTCAGAAAAAGCTAAGAACCATATGATCTCACTCATATGTGTAGTATAAAATTCAAACTTATACACACAGACAACAGTATAGTGTTTATCAGAGGGAAAGGGGTGAAGAATTGTGAAGAGTTAAAAGGATCAAGTATTTGGTGGTGGAAGATGATTTGACTCTGGGTGGTGAGCAGATAATGCAATATACAGAGTGTATATCATAGAAGTGTACATCTGAAACCAATATAACCTTATTAACCATTATCACCTCACAAACTTAATAAGAAAAGATAAAGTTCCTTGATCAGATTCTTGTCATAGTAAGTTAAATCTGGAAGTAGTGTAGGGGTTTCATTTAGGAAAGAGCTACACAGGTCCAGGCAAGCCTAAGCGAATATATCATGAAAGCAGATTTGAATGGCAGAATATAAAATGAAGTTATATTATAACCTGAAAGTTTAACTCTGCATAGCAAGATATCTAACTTTTGTCTTAGGGACTTTTATATTTCTCTAAATTTTATCCAATAAAATGAATGTATTAGAAGATTTGAAATAAAGGTTCTGATTAGAGATAAATTGCAGGTAAATCTGATTTGGGGAATGAGTAATTAAAACAGAAAAAAAATTAAATAACTATGGATTATAAACCAAGGTAGTATAGACAATCTCATTTGTTGGGCTGTATGCCTATTAGTAAGAATCATTTTAAATCTGAGGTAAGATAATAGAATCATAAATTAAAATAATCACAATGATTTGTATAAACCTCTCTCCTAGAAGGTGGCTTTGAGAATATGACATTACTATGCACATAAGGAACATTTTCCACAATCATCATAAACAATTCTTATACTTAGGTTTTAATACACATATGATATCAAGTTCAAGATACCTGTATGTGGGATACAAAATACCACTACTAACCTTACCTGTCATCTCCCCTGTAAACTTATGTCCACCTTAAGAGAAGGTATGTGTGAATATTATGTAGCAGAAAGAAAGAAGGAACTCCTACCCTTCTCAACAGCATGAAGGGAACTGGAGAGCATTATACTAAATGAAATAAGCCAGGTGGTGAAAGACAAACACCATATGATCTCACCTATAAGTGGAACCTAACCAACAAAACAAATAAGCAAGCAAAATATAACCAGAGACATTGAAATAAAAAACAAACTGACAGTGACCAGAGGGGAGGAGGGAGGGGATAATGGAGGAAAAGAGGGGAGGGGCCATCAAGGAACATGTATAAAGGACCCATGGACAAAACCAAAGAAAGGAAGGATTGAGGGTGGGAGGCAGGGATGGGTAGGGTGGGGGGACATGGTGGAGTGAAATGGAGACAACTGTACTTGAACAACAATAAAAAATAAATATTGAAAGTGAATGTATGTGTATTTAAATACACATGTCTATATGTCTACAGGTATACATCATTTTATTGTGCTTTGCTTTATTGTGCTTCACAGGTCTTGCAGTTTCTATACATTTAAGGTTTGTGGCAACCCTGCATGGAGCAAGTCTATCCACACAATTTTTCCAACACCATTTACTCAAATTGTGTCTCTGTGTCACATTTTGGTAATTCTTAAAATAGTTTGAACTTCTTCATTATTATTATATTTGTCATGGTGATCTGTGATCAGTGATTTCCAATGTTACTATTATCTTTAGGGTGCCACAAACTGCACCCATGTAACATGAAAAACTTAATAAATAAATTGTAGTTTATGTTCTGACTGCTCCAACAACCAGCCACTCCTCCTTCTCTCTTTCTCTCCTTGATCATCCTTATTCCATGAGACACAGCAATACTGAAATGAGGCCAGTTAATAATACTGCAATAGCCTCTAAATGCACAAGTAAAAGGAAGTGTTGTATAACTCTCACTTCTCAAAAGCTAGAAATAACTAAGCTTAATAAGAAATGCAAGTCAAAAGCTGAGATGGCCCAAAAAGCTAGGCTTACTGCATCAAAGAGTTAGCTAAGTTGTGAATGCAAAAGAAAAGTTCTTGAGGAAATTAAAAAGCTATTCCAGTGAACACATGAATGATAAAAAAACAAAACAAAACAGCTTTATTGCTGATATGGAGAAAGGTTTAGTGGTCTGGATAAAAGATCAAACCAGCCACATTTCCTTAAGTTAAAGTCTAATCCAGAACACGACCCTAACTCTCTTCAATTCTGTGAAGGCTGAGACAGGTGATGAAATTGAAGAAGAAAAGCTTGATGCAAGCAAGGGTTGGCTCATGAAGTTTGAGGAAATAACCCATATCCATTACATAAAAGTGAAAGTTGAAGCAGCAAGTGCTGATATAGAAGTTGAGGCAAATTATCGAGAGGATCTAGCTAAGATCATCAATGAAGGTGGCTACACTAAATAATAGATTTTCAATGTTGACAAAATAGCCTCATATTGGAAGATTTTTATAGATAAAAAGAAGTCAATGTCTCCTTCAATGCTTAAAAGGACTTGATGACTCTCTTGTTAGGGGCTAATGCAGCTGTTGACTTTAAGTTGAAGTCAATGTTCATTTATCATTTTAAAAATCCTAGGCCCTTAAGAATTATGCTAAATCTACTGTCTGTGCTCTATAAATTGAATAAAAAAGTCTGGATGACAGCACATCTGTTTATGATATGGTTTATTAAATATATTGAGCCCACTGTTAAGATATACTGCTCAGAAAAAAATAATCCTAAAAAATATGGCTGCTTATTGACTGCACCTGGTCACCCAAGAACTTTGATGGATATATATGAAATTCATGTTGTTTTCATAACTGCTAACTGAACAATAAGGTATTACAACCCATGGACCAAAGAATAATTTTAATTTTCAATTCTTATTTAAAAAATATATTTTGTAGAGCTATAGCTGCCATAGATATTGATTCCTCTGAAGGATCTTGGAAAACTCAATCAAAACGCTTCTGGAAAATATTCACCATTCTAGATACTATTAAGAACATTTATGATTCATAGGAAGAGGTCAACATATCAACATTAACAATAATTTGGAAGTTGATTACAACCCTCATGGGTTCAAGACTTCAGTGGAGGAAGTAACTGTGGATGTGGTGCAAATAGCAAGAGAGGTAGAATCAAAGTGAAACCTGAAGATGGGACTGAATTGCTGCAATCTCCTGAAAAATACCTCAATGGATGGGAAGTTGCTTTTTATGGATGAGCAAAGAAAGTGTTTTCCTGAAATGGGATCTACTCCTGGTGAAGATGCTATGAAGATTGTTGAAATGACAACAAAGGATTTAGAAATTACATAAACTTACTTGATAAAACAGCAGCATATTTTGAGAAGATTGATTCCAATTTTGAAAAAAGTTCTACTGTGGGTAAACACTATCAAAAGACACCACATGCTACAGGGCATTGTTTGTGAAAGAAAAAGTCAACTAGTGCAGAAAAGATCACTGTTGTCTTATTTTAAGAAATTACCATAGCCGCTCAACCTTCAGCAACCACCCCCTGATTAGGCAGAAGCCATCAACAATGAGACAGTACTTTACATCAGCAAAAAGATTACAACTCACTGAAGGCTCAGATGATGATTAGCATTTTTTAGAGATAATGTGTTAAATAAAATATATACATTGTTTTCTTGCACATAATATTATTGGACACTTAATAGTCTACAGTGTAATATAAACATAACTTTTATATGCACTGGGAAACAAAACAAAATGTGTGACTTGGTTTATTGTGATACCAGCTTTGTTGTGGTCGGGATCTGAACCCGCAATACCTCTGAGGTATGTCTGTATTGTGCGTTTTTACTAAGATGAGTACATTGTATTTACCCTCTGTGAGATTTACTAGGACTCAGGTTTATTGGTATTTAGTCAGCGTTATTATCCAAACTTTGTAATGTCAGAAACCAACAAAGTTAAAAAATAATTCATGAAGTTTCTCTATCTATAATCTAAATATTATAGATGAGTTCTGAACTATTATCTAATTTATACTTGGTGCTTATTATTGCCAATCACAAATCTACGTGTTTTTTATATATTAACTCATGTATTTTTTAATACATTGATTTATTTATTTCTCCAACTTTTCCATGAGTTATATATTATTTTAGACTTGTTTTACATAAGAGGAAATGGGGCACACACATTATGTTAAAATATATTGTAAAACTACCTAATTTAGGAAATGGGTAAATCTGATTCAGATTATACTCAGAAAGTGACCGTGATTTGAAAAAGTGAGTGCAAAATGTATCTAACTTTTCAAACACATTAATTTTTATTTGGGGAACTTTTCCCATACTTTACCTTTAATCTCTTTGTCATTTTTGAACCATCTTATATCAGCTGCAGGTTTACTACCAGATGTTTTACAAGTCAGCTGCATCAAGTCTCCCTCCATAACTGGTGATGAAAACCCACTAATCTGAGGCTTTTCAGGAACACCTGAAATATAAACAAATGAATGACATGAAAATCAGTTCCCAAAGTTTGTTCATTCTTGTTACTATTACTTTTATAAACAAAAGTAAACAGCTAACCAGCTGACAATAAATTCAATCAAAAATAATAAACTGCTATAAAATAAAATAACCTGATTATAATATACAGATATAGATAATGTGTATATATATGCATATATATATGATTATATATGTATACAAGTATATTATATACATATAGTCATATATTTAGTTCAAAGTAGTTAAATTAAATTTTACATATAAAAATATACTCTTTGTATATCTTAAAGACAGCCATTCAATATATTTTCATATTTACTAGTATAGGGATTTAAGAATGTACATTCTTTGCATTGGGATAAACATTCACAAAGCACATTTTTTGTTCCTTTGAAATTATGATTAAACTTAAATAGCACCTTTCATTTCTGATTTCATAATTCTAAAGCTTAAAAATGACATTATCCTCTGTGGACTCAATTCAAGAAAAGGCATTTTGTTCAAGAAAATCCATCAAAAGACTCATCAGTAAGTGCAACCATACTTACTTTTCTGATTTTTCTAAAGTGGAGAATGTCTGTTGATGTAATTTGTATTAGAAATGCAAGTGTAGTTTTTTAGAGCATGAAGTGTATTAGTATTAATGCTAACCACTTATCGATTCTTCTAGTCTAAACCATCCAATCAATAAGCAGATAACTAATATGGAGTGATAGATAGTACATGGGTAACTTAAATAATAGAACATTCCATACTTCTTGGGCATTAATATTCTCTTATCATAGTAGAAATTTACTAAAATCTCTTCTAAAATTATTCAATAATAAAAGCAGACTGGAAGCTTCTTTATCACAGTATTTAATTCAGTTTTAAAAGAATAAAATATAAGCATGTTGGAAAGCAACAATAAAAAATACACATTTAAACAAAACAATAAAGATAAATGACAGATCAACATACTCCAATTAGTGGGCTAATTTTTTTCACCTCTATATTGCCTTTTAAAAGAAAATCTATATCATACCATCATTTAATAAATTAAAACCAGCCAGTTGCCTACTCTTGGTGTCTCAAGTTGGCTCTCTACAGAACAACACATTAACTTTCCTCAGTTGGTACCCTGGAATACTGAATTGTAATGGTTATATCTTATCCTTAATAGCAAACTTGTGAAGATTTTTGATAAAATAGTCTCAGTGGGACTTGCAAAGAAATATGTTTCTTATCCTATGCACAAAACCAATTCATTCGCTGGATTAACTTTTATATCCTCACCCCCTAAAAAAAATAACAGCATGTGTTAGATATTTTAAAGGCAATGTTAGGGCTTTGTGTATCAAAATAAAAATGCAAACAATAGCAAAAATATCCTTCTTGAAATTCCTCTAACTTGTTCAGTACACACGTATGCTTTAGTAAACTGTAGCAATTTCAGCTGACTGAGTCACTAACATTGGTAGAATTACAGAAGGTTCTGAGATGCAACTATATTTCCTTGGAATCTCTATGAATGTATTGCTTTTTTGTGTCACTTTAACCTCTTGAAAAATGGCTCAATATTTTGAGAATAGAACAACAAAGAAGCTACAAGCTGCATGCACAAGTGGCGTTATGTACTTCACTGAAAAATCTAGAAAACATCACATTTAAAAGGTGAGAAGACACATAGAAATGTCAAGGCCATTCAAATGCACTGAAATACACAAAGGGGTCACATTTGAAAACCATAACATATTAGAGAAGGTTTCTTTCAGATGGCTGATATGATAAAATGGAGAAGCACCCAGTACACATGTTGAATTCATTATACTCATTATTCCATCACTTTATGAAAGAATCACCACATGTATAATACGTAGATGAGTTGATACAAAATAATTTAATTGAAATACAAGAAACCTGGTGTCTATTGCTGGCTAAAAATTAAATGGCTCTGTGCTCTCAGAAGTCATACAAATTTTTTTGTCTCCCTTTGTCTATTTATAAAATGAGGAAAGTGATTTTTTTAATTCTTTTTGTTATAATGTAGCAAAGAAGGGACTAAACTACATCTATTATTATGATCCTTGAAATATATATGTGTCTTTGAATCATGTTGCTTTAGTAGTACACATCTCTCTGGCTTGTGATTGCATTGTGTTTATCCCTTGAACTTACCGAGAACAGTGAGATAGGCCTTGGAAGTTTTGACAGGCATCGTAAATAATGAACAGGTATACTGTCCTTCATCGGAGAGAGACACATCACTGACACTGATACTCAGTTCATGCCAAGAAGCCCGAACCAGCTCGATCCTATTGTCCCTTAAAGCTGGAAAGAGAAAACATTGAAAATGTGAATGACACCATTAGAAAAAGTCAATGCTGTTAGGCTGTGCATTTTTAGCACAACATAATATACAGTTTTATCTATACATCTAAATATTCTCTAAAACAGTTAAAGGACAGTTTAAATAAGGTTAATATCCTAATTTTATGAAGAACTTGTAAGGCTCAGTACCAAAAAACAAGTAATCTAATTAAAAAATGGGCAAAGGACATGAATAGACAATTCTCCAAATAGATGGCCAATAGACATATGAAAAGATGCCTAGCATCACTAATCAGAGAAATAAAAATTAAAACCACATGAAATATCAACTTATACCTGTCAGAATAACTATCATCAATAAATCAACAAACAACAAGTGCTGGTGAGGATGGGCAGAAATGGTAACCCAACTGCACTGGTGGTTGGAATGCCGATTGCTGTAGCCACTGTGGAAAGCAGTATAAGGTTGCCTCAAAAAATTAAAAATCAAACTGTTTTTTAATCTACTGATTCCACTTCATGGAATTTATCCAAAGAAACCCTAAACACTACCTCAAAAGAATATATGTACCCCTATATTCATTGCACTTATTTACAATAGCTAAGATCTGGAAGCAGCCCAAGTGTTCATTTGCAGATGAGTGAATAAAACAGCTATGGAACAAATAGTGTAAATGATAGGTAGAAAATAGATAGGGGGAGGTTAAGAATAGTATAGGAAATGTAGAAGCCAAAGAACTTATATGTACGATCCATGAATATGAACTAAGGTGGGGGATATGGTTGGGAGGGGGTATGCAGAGTGGAGGGGAATAAAGGGGGAAGTGGGACAACTGTAATAGCATAGTGGATAAAATTATATTTAGAAAAACAGCTATGGTACATTCATACAATGTAATACTACTTGGCAAGAGGAAGATTTTACCTATATGGTGGGATCTAATGAACAAACTGTACTAACAAGCAAAATAGAGACAGACTCTCACAGATAGAAATCAGGCAGACAGCTGTTGTAAGTTGGGTGGTAGAGGAACTAAGCAAAAAAGAGAAAAGACTCATGGACATGGACAACAGTGTGGTGATTGTGGGATGGAGTGGGTGGAAGACAATGGCTCAGTGGGCAGCAAAAGCAGCAGGGTAATCCCTCCACAAATATCCAGCCCTAGATATGATCTCCCAATAAGGTAGAGGATTACTTACACATCTAAGAGCCACCAGGTGCCTGCCCTGGGGAATCACCTTTGCCCTCTTAGGAGGCACCAGTAGACATCAGTGTATTTTCCAGTGGAATTAAACAACTCAAACTGACCACATAGAACTACAAAGGTTGTGACAAATTGATGGAACCACAGCCTGCAAATGTATGCTAGGACCTGTGTGCTAAACCTAAATAAATGACTGCTTTCTAGAATAGAAAATATAAATAGAGTCTAAAATGTCCAAACATAATAGCCAAAATGACTAGAATATAATAATGGTAATAATAATAAATATCTGGTCACACCAAATATCAGAAAAATTATAACTTGAATAAGAAACATAATCAACAGGTGCCAACACTGAGATATTGAATTATCTGAAAAAAATTAAAGAAGCCATCGTGGAAAATACTTTAATAAGCAATTACTAATTATCTTCACACAAATGAAAAATAGAAAAAATTAACAAAGAAAAAAGAGTTATAAAAGAGAACCAAATGAAAATTATAGGAATCAAAACACAGTTAACAAAATCAAAACTCACTGTATTGGCTCAGCAGTACAATGAAGATTACAGAGTATAGAATAAGTGAACTCAAGGAAAGAGCACTAGAATTCACTCAATCTGAACAAAAGAGAAAAATAGATTTAAAAAAAGAAGAGCAGAATGTTAGGGACCTATGGGACAATAACAAAATGTCCAACATTGGAATCATAACTGTTCCAAAAGAAGAGCAAGAGAGGGGCTGAAACAGTATCTGAAGAAGTAATGGTTGAAGACTTTGTAGATTTGGCAGAATAAATTAATTAGTGAATCAAAAATACAAGCAAATATTAAAAAGGATAAGCCCAGAAAGGTTCATGTCAAGATAGATCAAAATTAAACATCTGAAACCAAAGACAAAGAAATTTTGAAAGCAGCCAAAGATAAAGACATGTTACCTATCAGAGAAGACCAATTCAAATGGGAAACAGTAAGTTTCCCATTTCCCATTTGAAATAATGAAGGCCAGAAGTGGCACATTTTTCAAAAGAAAAGAAAAGAACTGTCACTGATGGATTTTTATCCAATGAAACTAACCTTCAGGAATTAAGGGGAAATAAATATATTCTTTTTTTTTTTGATAGGGAGGTGGGCTTAAAACCTTTTCATTAGGTCTAGTTTCAGGGTATAGGATTGAAAATCCACTGAAAGTTAAAATTCAGTTAGCTCTACCTATGTGCATGTTAGTAGACAGTCAAATGTAGAGAGAATGAAAAGAAAGAAAACTAAGAACATGTGTTTTCATCATATTTGTCTTAAGGGAAAATTAAAGAAAGTTTCTTCAAGCAGAAAATAAGAACTCTTGGAGCATCAAGAAGGAAAAAAAAGACAACTGAAAGAATAAAAATATTGGTAAATATAATATCGACTACCCTATTTTTCTTGAGTTTTCTTCATTATGTAATGGTTGAAACAAAATTATAACAGCAACTGACGCTGTGCTCAACACATGTAGGAAGAATACTCAAGAGAAATAAATAATGAGTAGGGCAAATAGACCTAATGGAAGTACAGTTTCCAAACTTTACTTGAAGTGGTAAAACATTGTACTAGCAGACCAAAGTAGTCCACATATGTATATTTCAGTGCCTGGAACAACTACTAAGAAAGCATACAAAGTGACACAGTAAAAAACTCTCTATAATAATTGAGACAAAGTACACATATACAGAGTCTTCAGATACCATTATAGAGATGAAAAAGAGGTCAGTAGTTAGCAAAGGATAAGAATATTAAGGACTGGAAGGGAGTAGTAGGGAAATAAATTTGGTTATAAAAGAACAAAACAAGAAACACCTGTAGTGATAACAGTATTCTGTCTTGACAGTGGTGAGGGATAAATGAACCTACACATGAATAACAGTGCATGGAAGTAAACACATATGCACACACAAATGCATGTAAAACTGGTGAAACCCAAATAAGACTGGTGAGATATATATTATTGTCAATCCTCTAGTTTTGTTATCTTTGCAAGATGCTATTTCACTGAAAGGTAGATGAGATCTCTTTGAATTATTCCCTACAATTAGGTATGAATCTATAATAAAAACTCAAACAAAACATTTTTATGTACATTTGATTGAGTAGAGGAAATGATTAAGATATCAAAGCTTAAAATTCATTGTACATATTTGCCAAACAGGAAGAGGAAGATCCCAAGTGCCACATATTCTTAAATTAGCTGCAGCTTCTGTGTGTGCTTTGGGATAGGAGTAGGCAATTATAAAATATTTAAGATTTGGGAAAATTCTAAATTTTCATTATTTTTAATGTATTTTTAAAAACCATCTTCCCACACACTCAGATAACACATATGTTAATGATGATAGTCCCTCTGCTACCATTTTCTGTTAATTCTAATTTCATGAGACATATTACAAATATTTTTGAAATTGATTTTTATTGAATATAAAAAGTAAGGCAAGTTTGATCATGATTGCATTTGTGACTCCATTAGACAAACTCATTGATTGTAAATGTTTATTTCATACTTTATCTCCTACATGTTTTAATATAAATGCCTGCTATGGGAAAACAGTGGGACTCAGATGTGTCTTTTCCCCAGTAGGACCACATGCTATGTCAACTGCTTTTCAAAGCTATGATTTATTTTTAAAAATATTTATAACATATTTCTTGTTTTTTTTTAAGAGGTCACCAGAAGAGAAAACCTCAGGTTCCTGCCATGATATTGTATGGGTAAAACATGTTACTCATCCACTGTGTTCAATTTCATTTCCTCTGACACAGTAACCCCCAATGATAGAACTTCCAATTTTCAGTCAATTTGGCAAAAGAAATTTAACTCTCTTTTGGTTGGATTATTTTTTGGAAATTATATAACATCACCAAAGACAACCTGAATTACTCAGTACATACAAATATAACACTTATATTTAGATCATTTTCATGGAGAAAAGCTAAAAGCAGTGACTTCAGAATTAAGAGATCTGCTCTAGGTACTTGTATGAGGTCAGATTTCCTGTGGATAATAATTCTTGATTCATTCCATCTCTGGATTATGATGAGAACTGAATAATATCATGTAGCTTGTAAAGTACCTTAAAATAAATCCGCAATGGTATTATTAAAATATTTTTGGTTTGGACTCCTGATAAGAACCTAAATATTTTAGTGTATGAAATGTCTCAGTTAGTTAAGCTTACCAAATTATATAATATTTTGAATTGTTTTATGATTATTCCAGCCTTGACTAAACACTAGGTTCCGAGAGCAGAATGCCTCATCTTTATGTACATTCTGTTGTAATTAACCATACAAATCTAGGCAGATCACTTAAGTATTATGCATCTCAGTCTGCTGATTGTAAGGTACAGGTAATAATTGAGTACAAGTATAAGGAATATAATTTAAAGAACTGAAATATATTAATATGTATCTAAAACCTCAAAGCATATTGCCAAGAACCCAGAAACTGACACAATTAGTATTATTTGTATAATAATAAGTGACTATTTATTGTGTAACAAACCTTGATAACTTATTTGTCAAAACAAAAAACAACTGCTTGAAGAGATTCTCATTAAACTGAACATTTTAAACAAATCTTATATTCAGAACATTTATCTCTTCAAGTTTGTAAATATGTTTGATGTCATCTTCAGTTCACTTTATGATAGCATGTCAAATATGAAAGAATACAGGAAAACCTGTAATAGTCCAGAGAGGGTATAATATAACTCCACAGGTTCTCTGTGAGCAGGATCCTTGTCTTGCTTGTCTCAGAACCCTGC